CTCTCAGCCTTGTCTGAATTTGAGTACTATTTTGTTAAACCATAACACTTATTTTGATTTGTGGGGGTCACTGGTGCCCATGTCCAGCTATCACTGTGCGAGAGGTGTGGGACAACCATGACAGGTCTCCAGTCCATCACAGGGACACATAGAGACAAACGAGACAAACAACCATTCACTCTCACTCACACCTAGGAACAATTTAGAGTTACCAATCAGACTAACATGCATGTTTTTGGTCTGTGGGAGGAAACTGGAGTATCTGGTGAAAACCCACACAGCACAGAGAGAACATGCAAACTCCACCCAGAAAGGCCCTGGGCTGGGATTTGAACTGGCGATCTTCTCACTGAGAAACAACAGCTCTAATAACTGTGCCATCGTGCCGCTGCAGTTATATTAGTTACTTTTAATTTATTATCGCTTCTTAATGCTAGAAGGTTGGAATCTTGAAAAATGATAGTTTGTGGCATGTCTCATTGAAAAGACTTTCACTGAAAGCCGTGATTCCATAGATTTTGCCAGAGGTTGCATATTTCCTGTCAACTTCAAAAACAAGTCAAACAACTCCGCTATTTTTAGATGTCAGAAAACACAAAACTTCTAAAGGTTGGTGTTCGAGTTTTGTTTTGGTACCTTTTCTCACATATATAGGCTCCATGATGAGACATCTCCACAGGAAGGAACCACAACAACCCATCTCTGACCTCCACGTCAGTGGGGAGGGTCTCAGTGGGGCCATCCCCTCTGCTCCACATCACCTCAGTCTGGTCAGGGAGGCAGCTCAACAGAAAGACATGTCCAACACTCACATGGTATGTGTCTATCTCCCCACTGTGGTCTGGAAGAGACAGAGCAAACTGAATTAAAATATTTAAGTATTTCTTAAAATATCTTAACTGCAACAATTTCAAAAGGTAATGGACAAAATTTTGTTTATTTCTATCCAGTTCAACTATTCAGGGTAAGAAGGTGGAGATTCTTGATCAAATTATGAATGAATCATCATCCACATGTTATTTTTCTCACATGGTGGCACTGCTGCTCTTTGTAAATGGTAAATGGACTGTACTTATATTGCGCCTTTCTATCTTATTTCAAGATACTCAAAGCGCTTTACAACAATCTGTGCCTCATTTACCCATTCATACAGCACCATACTAGATCTCTACAAAGCTAATTGAACAAATCATTCTAAAGACACTAATCAGTGCTTTAACACATTCATACACTGATGGGACACACATCAGAGGCAACGAGGGGTTCAGTGTCTTGCCCAGGGACACTTCGGCATGTGACTGCTGGTGGATTCGAACCCCCAACTCTTGCATTGGAGGACGATTGCTCTAACCACTCAGCCACAGCCGCCCTGCTGAAACGTTTGTAGTCGTTCAAGATGGACTGAACAGAACAAATTCACTGAGCTGCTTCTTCTTTTAAGGCCCCATAAATATTTAACCATCCTCCCCAGCCGCTCAGATATAAACTGTTTAATTTAAACCGTAAACTTGAGATCCTTGTAGTTTACTTGTAAACCTGAAGCTCTCATAAGAATTTTATTTTATTAAATTTTTTTTGGCCTGCTCCCTTCTTCAGGAGTCACCACAGCAAACTAACTCGCATGAAGACTTGGCAATTGTTTTTACGTTGGATTCCCTTCCTGACGCAACCACAGACCACCAAGCTGGAGAGAGCGGCCCATTTAGGACACCTGGGGGAGCAGATGGTGGGGGATAAGGGCCTTGCTCAAGGGCCCAGAGTGGGGCAAATGAGGATGGAAGCAGGTGTTGGTGTTTCACCTTTTCCACCCACAGTTTTTGATGTTGTCAGTCTGGGGAGTTGAACCGGTGACCTTCTGATCACTGGCCCACTTTCGCTAACCTCTGCGCCACCACTCCCCCATGCATATGCATATTGCTATCATACTGATAAGAACATATTGTGCAAAATTTTGGAAACATTATTGTCTTTTATAGTTGTTAGGGAATGAAACACACATAAAATAACTAAATTTAAACATTTACACCAAATAGAGAAGTAAAAAAATTCCAAATATGAAACATAACGTCACAAAAAATATAGATTGCTACAAATTGACTCAAAGTAATGTAAGTCTGAGACGTGACAAAAATAATGGTGATAAATTGGCAAATGTTTAGAAAGATGAAACAAAATCACCTAATTGAAATGAAAAATGAGAATGAGAAACAACACACAGACATGTAGGACATCATATTGACACTCATGAATAGCAGTTACCAATCTGTATGATTGTTTAAGATCAAAATATAAACAAATATTTAAAAGAAAAAAAAATTAACAGTTAAAAAAGTGAGCAACACTGAAAGGACAAAACAATCATAACTAGAAAGTTCCTGGAGAAACTTTGATGGGGTCTGCTTATTTATTATTAAATTATTATTAATAATAAATATTAACTTTAATAATTAATAATATAAATGATTAATAATACTTAGTAATTGTTCAGATTAATAATTACTACTATATTAATAATTTATTAATTATTATTAAATATATTCATAATAATCATTATTAGTAGTAGTAATTGTAAATATTTATATTATAATTATTGAAATTAATAATTAATAATTGTTGTTAATTATTATTTTTACCAATTAATAATAATAATAGGTGATAATAGGTAATAATAGGTGCTTTAAATGCATTGCGTAATGCACTGCCTTCCTTGCATCAACAAGCAAGGAAGGCATGTTGCAAGGCAACTAAAATGGCTCCATACGTTGCTCAGTTTCTTTGAAAAGTTTTCTATTCATTTCCTATGGGAAATTTGGCATCTTTATTAGCAAAATATGTTGCATGGTAACTCCAATTGCCAATAAAAGTAATAACACACATCTCGGAGCCAGGCCGGTCATTTTGATATAACTTTTGTGGAGGTCCACGTTGTGTTTCGGGCTGCATTAAAGTTGAAAAAGATACGCATATCAGGTGTAGAATAATAAGTGGTCAGTCACCAACAATTTCCTGGAGTTGGTGAAAAATTGAGTCTTTGTTCGCAAATTACGTCGCCATGGTAACTCGAAATGCCATCAAAAGTAATAGCACACATCACTTTGTTTTGATATAACTTTTATGAGGGTAGACATTGTGGTTTGGGCTGCATTAACGGAGATAGAAATGTAGACTCACTTCTGAGGTGTAGAATAATAGGTGCCTGCCTTGCATTTGCATGGCATTCCCCGACTATTAAAAATCACCAAAAAACACAAAATCACACAGACTCACACATATGACGATCCATCCATCCATTATCTTTACACACACTTTACACACTTTGGGCGGCTGTGGCTGAGTGGTTAGAGCAGTCGTCCTCCAATGCGAGAGTTGGGGATTCAAATCCACCACCAGTCACATGCTGAACAAGACAAGACACTGAACCCCTCATAGCCTCTGATGTGTGTCCCATCAGTGTACGAATGTGATCTTAAGCATGGATTAGTCTCATTAGAATGATTTGTTCAATTAGCTTTGTAGAGATCTAGTAGAGTGCTGCATGAATGGGTAAATGAGGCACAGATTGTTGTAAAGCGCTTTGAGTATCTTGAAATAAGATAGAAAGGCGCAATATAAGTACAGTCTATTTACCATTTACCATTTACTTCTGGGACACCCTGGACATGTCTCCAGTCCATCACAGAGATACCCTGGACAGGCCTCCAGTCCATCACAGGGACATCCTGGACAGGTCTCCAGTCCATCACAGGAACACCCTGGACATGTCTCCAGTCCACCACAGAGACACCCTGGACATGTCTCCACTCCATTACAGGGACACCCTGGACACGTCTCCAGTCCATCACAGGGACACCCTGGACAAGTCTCCAGTCCATCACAGGGACACATAGAGACAAACAACCAAACACTCTCTCACTCACACCTAGGGACAATTTAGAGTTACCAATCAGCCTAACATGCATGTTTTTGGTCTGTGGGAGGAAACCTGAGTACCCGGAGAAAACCCACGCAGCACGGAGAGAACATGCAAACTCCACCCAGAAAGGTCCCAAGACAGGATTTGATCAGGCAGTCTTCTTGCTGAGAAGCAACAGCTCTACAAATGGAGCCACCGTACCAACCAACATATGAAGATAAATTAGTTAACAACAAAGTCCATGCTCAATAATCCAGGTATACAATCCAACATTTTTCAGTCAGGTCATCTGGACAGTTTCTTTTTTTGTGCTGAAACGTTTCGCCTTCGATCCAGAAGGCTTCATCAGTCAAGGAAACACACAACAAAACTGATTCTTCCCCCAACAGCTTATTCCAAAGTGGAACAAACCAGTTTTGCTTGTGATAAGATGGACTGTTTGGTACGCCCCCTCCTCCATTGCCGGCCCTCTTCCTTGTTGACAGTCGTGTCAAACTGGTTCAAAACAGCAAAGTCCACGCTCAATAATCCAGGTATACAATCCAACATTTTTCAGTCAGGTCATCTGGACAGTTTCTTTTTTTGTGCTGAAACGTTTCACCTTTGATCCAGAAGGCTTCATCAGTCAAGGAAAAACACAACAATACAGAGCTCACAGGCAGCAGCAGGGCAGGCAGCCCGAGCCCAATTATGTGACGTTAATTTAACATCATACAAACATGACTAATAATAAACACAGAACACAATACATGCATAACAAGCAGCCACGGATTGCTGAGGGTCTTACTTCAAGCCCCGCAGGCTTGGAGGCATGTCACTTCCTAACTAATGATTTATTTATAATTTATCTTCATATGTGGGGTGGTACCGTGGCTCAGTTTGTAGCGCTACTGCTTCTCAGCGAGCAGGTCACCGGTTCAAATCCCACCCAGAGGCCTTTCTGGGTGGAGTTTGCATGTTCTCTCCGTGCATGCGTGGGTTTTCTCCGGGTACTCCAGTTTCCTCCCACAAACAAAAAAACATGCATGTTAGACTGATTTGTAATCAGTGCTCTGAGATGAATTTTGTTGTGACGGTGCTATACTGTATAATAAACCGAAGTAAACTGAATTATAGCTAACTTCATGCTCTATTACTGGGTAGCTAATACCAGAGATCTATAGTTCTGGTTAGGTAAGGATACCCCTTCTCCCAGCTGGGTGGTTTTAGAGAGAACCCAAGATCCAGCTCTCTTTCTGCATTATTCTGCTCTCAGTTGCCTTTTAAACAGTTAATATCAACCTACACTTCTAACCCAATTGTACTCTGGGCGGTTAAGATTTGGAATCAGTTCAGGAGAGCAGTTAACTCTACAGAATTAATGTTTCTGGCACCTGTGTCAAATAATCATATGTTTACTCCAGGGCTTAATTTGTAAACTGATCCATGGGACAGGGTGTCTGGGGGTCAACCCCCTGAACATTTTTAATAAAGTAGATGAGACTTCCTGCATTTTGGTGTATTTTAACAGGTTTTTAAACATCTACGTTTTCCTACATTTATAAACAATCCGCCTCTGTCAAGCCCCCCACCCCTGCCTTAATTGATGGAACCGTCAAATTAATCGGGCTCGTTCCCAAGTCCAATTCTGTCCTGAGCCCAACTCTGTCCCTGTTCGTTGTTGTCCAACTCCACATGTGAAACCTCCAGCTGCCTGCCCTGCTGCTGCCTGTGAGCTCCTGCCTGTGTACGAGTGCCTGCTCAGCACTTCATTCTTTTAGGGGCGGAGATTTCTTTAAGGGTAGACGTGGAAATGCTTCACTTGAAGAGGCAGATCGTGGCTGTTGTGCTTAAAGTTAATGTTCATTTAATTATTTTCAGTTTACATATCCAGGATAAGTTTTATTAGTTCAAAGCAGTCATATTTGTTCATAACTTTATTACTAGTAAGCCTGAGAGTTACCGGATCCAAGCCGGATCCTAGCAAACAGTTACTAGGAGCACCATGTCAAAATAAGAGAGTTCTCAGATTCTGTTCTAGCAGGAACCGGCTCAGACTAAGCCCTGGTTTACTCCCTCAGTAGCTGATACAGCTTTTGACACCTGGGTCTTGAGGGGAGTGCATTCACTGTGTGATCTCTATGTTGATGATAGATTTGCCTCTTTTGAGCAGCTGGTACAGAAATGTATTATTCACAAGTCACCGTTTTTCCAGATATTTACAGCTAAGACATTTTGTGAGATCTAACTCTGACTGAGCTCTGGATTATTAAGCATGGACTTTGTTGTTAACTCTGACTTTTTCCCTTTGTGGTTATGTGGTTAAGATTTTGGAATGCTGGTCTGATAACAAGGGGGCCCTCAGCAAGATCTATACACTGCTCAGTTCATACTATGAAACCAGCTTGGACTCCCTTAAAATGAAATGAGAAACGGACTTGGAGGAATTCACATCAGTTTGAACAGTTTGGTTTGATGTCTCCTCAGACTGATGAAGCCTTCTGGATAGAGAGCGAACATCTCAGCACACACAAAAAAATAAATCATCCAGATGACCTGACTGAACATTGTTGGATCAATAAAAAAAAATTGATTAAAAAAATACACTCACACAATGAATGCTTTTAATTGCTGTAAAACCACAGAAATGGAACAGGAAATATATCAGCAGACATTAGACAACAATTTCTGGACCACAAAACAACCACAAAAAAAACGAAATCACCAAACCAGTACAAAGAAGAAGAATCTGAACTCTGCAGAAAACAACATGAAGACAAGACTTATCGAGTATCATGTCTTTAAGCTCATATTTGATTTGTTTTGTGTCTTTAGTTGGTTCTTTCCAGAGGCAGCTTTTCAGCATTCAAGGCTCTTTAATGTCATTCGCATCACATGTGGCACATGAGGTGGAACAAAATTGTGTACTCAGGGTCCCAGTTTTGAGTTCTGAGTTGCTGTTTTTGGATGAATGAGAAAATTTGACACTGACTTCTTTTTTAGTTTCAATGAATGGAGCAGGGGATGAACACTGATAAAAAACAAATTAAACTGTGTAAAAAATCTTTACTTACTGATAAAAACATTTGTACAGCTGTATTAAAGACTGGATTATATGTATGTAACAAACAGTTTTTTAGTTGTGTTCAGCTGTGCACTTTAAATTTACTTTCTACAAAAATCAAACTTTAATATTTTAAGCTATTCATATTCTAAAAATGTTCACATTTTGGTTTACTGCTGACTGACTAAATATCTAATTTGGGCGGCTGTGGCTGAGTGGTTAGAGCAGTCGTCCTCCAATGTGAGAGTTGGGGGTTCGAATCCAACAGCAGTCACATGCTGAAGTGTCCCTGGGCAAGACACTGAACCCCTCATAGCCTCTGATGTGTGTCCCATCAGTGTATGAATGTGATCTAAAACTCTGATTAGTCTCTTTAGTGTAGGGATGGCACCATCTAGTGGGCCTTCCCCCTGTCTTTTCTCCCTTGTGTCTGTATTGATTGTCTGATTATCGTCACCTGTGTCATGTCCTGGTTGTGTGTATATAAAGTCTGTCTGTCAGTTCTGTCATGGTCGGTTCGTCGTTGGGTATTGCCTGTCCTGTCCTGCCTGTCTGATCCTGTTCTTGAGTCCATGTTGTAAGTTTTGCTGCCATGTCAGCCTTTTGATTTATTATTCTTCTTATTATTAAAAGTATTTTATTTTATATGTCTGCCTCCTGAGTCTTGCCTGCGCAACTGGGTTCTTCTGTCCTGATCTGCCTTGAAAACCCTGACATTTAGAAGGATTTGTTCAATTAGCTTTGTAGAGATCTAGTAGAGTGCTGTATGAATGGGTAAATGAGGCACAGATTGTAGTGTAAAGTGCTTTGAGTATCTCGATAAGATAGAAAGGCACTATATAAGTACAGTCCATTTACCATTTACCATTTGTACACCTATGACGTTTTGTAAAACACCTTTCCTCATATTGTGCATTGTCAGTTCTTTTTGTGTCTACTGT